CATTTGCCACGATATGAGGGTTCATACCCAACCGGCGTTGTGGCCACCGATGCCACTCAGACAGCAGTGCCTTGTCTCGAACAGTGTTCGGACTTGCTTTTTCGACCCGGCCCCTGGTGCAGAGCACCCTCCTATGGCCGCCCATGCAGCCCTGGACAGTGGTCCGAATTCGGCAGGCGCCGAGGTACCATAGTCAGCTTTCCTGCGGTCTTGCAGAAGGCCTGCGCAGAGTGCCTGCTTCGTGGTGCAAAGCCCATCGACGAGACAGCCCTCGCGTCGAGGAAGAAAAGCTTGTTTCCCCCCCGCTCTCCACGTCACTGACACTCCCTCGGCTTGTAGTGCGAGGACGCAGAGCTCCTGGTAGGACCTCTGTTTTTGTGTCCGCAGCCGTTTTCAAGCTTTCTGCCTAGCAGTTGAGTTTTGCGCTTCTTTCCTCCCGCCCTATCTCAGGACACTGCTCTGAGGGAAGGGAGGGTCTGTCTCGCGCGCCTAGTAGGCTCCTGTGCTGACGGCGCTTTTCTTGAGCATGTGCATGCTCTTGCTGTTCGTAGCAGCCTTGCTTGTAGCTGTTCTGGCTCCTTTTGCTTAGGTTCTCGCCAGTTGCCTTGGCACAGTCCCAAGGACGTGCCTTTCAAGAGTCAGGTTTGTAACCTGACTATGGGCGTTGACGACAAGGTTGCTAACCGATGGCCCGGTCTCTCGCGCAGGGCTCCTGCCCTTCAGCCGTGGGAATGGTCATCCTGGTTAGCTCGCTCAGCGGCCTGGCCGTGGGAGCTGTCAGTGATACCATCGGTGGGCCCGGTACCTGTGGTACGCAGTTCCTTGGTGCTGAAGGGAAGAGCCGAAGCGTCTTCGGCCCCGGCAGTGCCGGACTTCTGCCGTGGCCTTGTCTTGACCGTTTGCTCACGTGGCACAGTGTGCCAGGGTGATCAACGGTGCTTGACAATGTTCAAGCTTAGGGCCGTGGTACAGGGCCGGCCGGATGCTTCCGGCATGGTCGCACAGTGTGTTGACTCCTACGATCGCGTCGATCTTGACGAGCTCGATCTCGGCATCAGAGCCGCTCTCAGCTACAGGGCCACCAACACGTTGTTTTGGCAGCTGATGCCCTCCTCTGCTTCCGCTCAGTGGGCGTGCACGCAGTCACCACTGCTGTCTCCTTTCCCAGCGACGGGGAAAGTGAAATGGCGCTATATCCAGTGGATGACACGCGCTGACCAAGGATCTTCGAGTCCTTCGAACCTACCTCAGTGTCAGCACTGCATGGTGCTTCGGGGTTTGTGGCTTCGCCTCCGAGTCGGAGGCGACCAGCTTTCGGTTCACCGGCCCTCCCAGGAGCACGGAGGCCAGCGCCCCACTGCCTAAGCGCGCACCAGTTCTTGCAGTCAAAGAGGTGGCGCAGCTTGAGCGCGCAGGCAACTCGCGGGTGCTCTGCGACAGTGTCGTGTCCGAGGGTCCCCCCTGCATGCTCCTTGCACGCGCCCGCGCCAGTGACGCGGCGCGTGTCTTTCCGCTCTTGCTTCAGGTATCCGGCGACCCCTGGGCCACAGTGTGGATGCAGGACAGTGCTGCCAAGGCCCAGTTGGCCACCAGCTCCAGAAGTCGCCCACTCTTACCCCTCATCGCACCAGCGGTGATATCTCAGGAGGCCTGGGTTCCTCCATGGTTGAGACATCGCGTTAGCCTTGGGTTTATTTCCTCTGGGGACATCCCCTTTGGGTCCGTGACCCTTGCCTGTACTTCGGGCAGAGTTCACTCAAGTGGACCGTTGGCCTCCCAGGAAATTACGCGATGGCAGCGCAGTGCTCTGGCCAGCGCCGCTGCTGCAGGCGCAGAGCGTCTCAGCAGCCTTGGCCCTAAGGCCTCATGCCCGGCTTGGGCGCCTCAGACGGGTGTCGGTCTGGTTTTGCGCCGCCTGCTGGCTCACCACGTGCGCGAGCATGCTCGCAGCACCGTGACGTACAGCCGCCACTTCCTGACCCTCGCAGCGCGGGTATTGGAAGAAATTCTCATAGCCATCAGAGATGGCAACTTCTCGCCGGACCGCCCTCTCGGCTGGCAGCTTTCTGTGCCTGACGCACAGCTAAACATGTGCCGGGCGACGGGCGAGTTTTTCGCGCTACGAGACTAGCTTTGGCTCCTGCCCCCCCAGTGGGGCCGAGCCGCGGAGAGTCTCCCAACTTCAAGGATACCACAGGGACAGAGGACAGTGCCAGTGACTGCCAGTGCCACTGACCTGAAGTCACCGCTGTCATCGACACCAGCTGCAAAGTTCGCAGCCTTTTGGTATTCGGGCCGATTGGTTGCGACCAAAAGATGCAAACTGGAGTTGTGAGCTTTCTCTCCTTCTGCGTTGGTGGTATCTATGCTGCAGCCGAGCTTCACCATAGGTGCTGCCCATGCAGCTGTGACACAAGGTTTTCTTCAGCTGTGTCTCTTTTCTCTCGGCAGCCCACGCTTTGCTTGGCTCCAGGTCGCCTGCAACGTAAGACGTGCTGGTGCAGCAAGTCGTTGGTGGTTGTGTGAAAAATGAGCGAGCGCCTCTGCGTTCCCCTCGTAGGAGTTCGTGGTTCCTCTCTCTCTCTTTCACACTCTCTGTGCCCCCTTACCATGTTCAGGACCATGTCCAGTCTCGTCGACAGCGTCGCTGAGTTCAAGAGCCGGGCACAGCAATTATTGGGCGAAGAGGACGCCCGGAAGCTCCTCACAAACGACATTAAGTCCTTTGGAGAGCTGGCATACAGTGTAGCCGACCAGCCCGACCGCATCAGTGATGCGCGTTTTGACGAAATCGTGAAGAAAGTGTTCCCAGCAGACGTAAGCCTGGGCACAAAGGCCGCAGTGCGGCGCCTCGCTTTCGAGTCCCTCACTTTCAGCATCCAGGATCTGAAGATGAGGATGGAGGGCGACAGTGTCGCCTCTAAATCCTTACCACTACACGAGCGCGAGGAGCGCCGCGCTAAGCAGGTCGCGCGTCTTCGTGGGGTCGTCATCGATGGCGATTACGATCCCGCCCATTCGCTCGTGGACAAGGCTGCCCTCATGCTGCAGGACGGCATGGTTCGCTATATTCCCCCGTCGCAGTGCATCAGTCGGGATGCGGAGATCGCCTCAGTGAGGCGTGACAAGGAGTTTTTCTCCCTAGAGTCTGGGGAGATTACCCTTAAGAAGAAAGAGCACAGTGTGCACGTTGAGATCGGCAATGAGCTCAGCCTGACGCAGGCCTTCGTTCGCCGAGGGCTTGCGCTCGACAGAGTCGGGCTACTTGATTTCACCACACACGAGAGACTCGTGAGACAGTATTTCTCTGTCCTCAACAGGCCCGCGCCTCCAGGAAGGGAGCGGGGGTCATGTTGGCACGTCGTTCGTGCCGACAAAGAGCTCTGGACAATCATCTCCCGACAGTGCCGGGATGGATGTAGACCGGACAAGACAGGGAACAGGCCGCTGGACGAGCTCGTCCGGGACAACTGGGCAGACCCCATGGTCATGCTCCATCTCCTTCCCGTCCAGCCTGCAGAGCGCGGCCGATCAAGCAAGGGTATCGGCCGTCTCCCGATCGGCAGCAATCCCGATCGCAGTCGCAGCGCGGCCAACAAAAGCAACAAAGGCAAAGGCAAGGGTAAAGGAATGCCCAAAGGGAAGAAGCACGAGAACGCAGAGCGTTCCAAGCCCCCCAGCATGCCCAAAGAGCTGCGCCACCTGAGCAGTGTTTCCAGGTCCGGAAATCGTTTTTGCTACGGTTTCAATCTGCAGTGCGGATGCGACCTGGTCGCCGCCGGATCCCCGCCGCAGTGCGACCGGGGAATGCACCAGTGCATGAGCTGCGGCAGCTCCGAGCACGGGGCCGCTGTCTGCCCCAAGGAGGCCGGGGGCGCTTGACTAGGTGTCCACCGGCGCGAACAGCCAGTGGACCCCCCCCTGTCAGCAACCACCGCCCAGGTTGCGAGGCTCAGCGAGCAGTGCCCGCCGCCTCGCGGAGCAAAGGCACCGCCAGTGGCGGAACCACAGCTGCTCTCAACACAGCAGCACTCTTCGCCAATAGATGCTCTCTTGCGGCAGTCCGCAATTTTTCCCCAGCAGTGCGGGCTTTCTAGATCCCCGCTTTTTGTGGAAGCTCTCTGTGGCCGTGGCAGGTTTTGCGAAGCCGCTGTGGACAAAGCTTTCACACACGTCGCGCTGGTTCACAGGTGCAAGGCTAGAGGTCTGAAGCATTTCGGCTGGCCCTTTGCACCACATTTAGTGGCTGTTTCCTGCAGCAGTGCTCCAGCACGACGACCTTCGCTGGATTCACTGGGCGCCACCGTGCGACACCTTCAGCAGAGCCAGCAAGACCCCCAGCTACGCGCCCTGCCGCCGTCGCGCAGTGCGCACCGACCGCCAGGCCTCACCCTGACCCTCCAATAGACGCTTA